ATTCAGGTCCTCCTGGCTGATTTGCAGGTGAGGCAATTAAAAGAAATACAGTTGATACCATGAATGAAGTAGCAGGGGGTGCAAAGAATATCAAAGATGTCAGCAAGGCAACAAAGGTTTCAGAGACGGCCTCTCTTAGATCTGGAACACAGTACAGTTGTTCTAAATATTATTCCATACAAGGGACGTATGATTAACTGGTCAACAAAGCAGGTGGCAAACGAATATCTTTTCTTCTGTGCCCACACTTTTCATCAATTGATTTAAGATATGTTTCATGGATTCCTGGGTTCCTCAGAGGGGTTAGGATTAAGATAGAATTCTTTCCCTCAATGATCTTCATTAATTTTTTTAAAGGCGGTACTAGTTAAAAACATATGGGGTTTTCCTGGTCCAATCCTTTGTTCAAAGGGCAAGGACCCACTTTTTTTCAATGCCATCCAGAGGTCATTTCGGGGGGGAACGCGGGGGAATGCAGTTCCCCCGGGTGAGGTGCAGGGGGCGGGGCACACGATGAAGCCCCGCCCCCTGCTTCTGGCCGCCCCGCTTCCAGCCCTCATTCAGCCAGGAGGAGGCAGGAGAAGAGGGAGGGTAAGTTGCTTCCTCCCCGCCTCTCCCCACCCCTGCCTGCCTGGGGCCAGGGAGGGCCTTGGCAGGGCTTCCTCGCACTTCCGCCAGCCTTGCAGGTCCACCGCCGGGCCTCTGATGTCAGGGGGTGTGGCATATGCTAATGAGTTATGCTAATGAGTTCCCCTAGCTCTTTTTCTACGAAATGACCCCATAAGAAAGTAATTTAGACAGGGAATAGAGGGGCTACAGACGGAGCAAATTGTCACTAAAGGGGTGCCCTAAGATTAATCCTTAAAATAAGGCATCTCGTTCTATTACCCACTGGGGTTGTGAGCTCTGAGTTTGGACATTCCTGGAGATTTGCAGGTGGAGCCTGGGGAAGGCAGGGTATAAATTATACCATATACTACTATAGAGTCCATCCTCCAAAGCAGCCATTTTCTGCAGGGTAATAGATCTCTCAGTAGTGTAGAGAACAGTCGTAATCACAGGAGATCTCCAGGCCCCACTTAGAGGTTGGCAACCCTACTGTCCACTCACCAGAGAATTAGGAGATGCTGACTGATTCGATCTCCCCTTCCGCTGGGACAGACAAGACTGCTCTGCTGGCTCGCTTTCCTGCAAAGGAAAGTGTGCAGGCCCATCCTGAGGACTTTGAAAGCAATCTGTTGGCATCCTTTGGCTTACTTCCCCCATTTCAGAGCAAAATGATATGCCTTCCAGACTGCAGAATTTAATAATCACTCTGGAAAATATTAGGGTGCAGAAAACTCAGGACAATGAAAGGGACCATTTATATGCTAAGGGACAGCTGTTGATTAGTCCACAAATATTCACTTCATACAAAGCTTCCGGCATTTTGTGCCCTTTTGGTCAAATGGCCTTTTCTACTGAGTCCCAGCTGGAGATAGAGAAAGGGAACCTTGCCACATCTAAAGGAAGAAGGACTGACTAAATATACAGAAAACATGCTTTCTCTCATGGAATATGGCTGAATGAAATAACAAAATGAGTACAAAGGGAACAGGGGAACTCCTGAAAAGCTATGATATAATCTTAGTATATGAGACTTGGTCAATAGAAAAATAGCTTTTTCAACCTATTATCTCAAGGAATCAGCCTTTAACTGATATTATCTTGATGTTTTCCACATGGGGACAGGCTATGGTTACCAACTTCTACCTGGGGCCTGGAGTTCTCTCAGAATTACATCTGATCTCCAGACTGCAGAGATTAGTTCTTCTGGAGAAAATGGCTGCTTTGGTGGCTATGACATTATACCCCACAGAGGCATCTTCCTTCCTCAAAGCCCACCGTTCCCAGGCTCCACCCCCAAAATATCCAGTAATTTCCCAACTTGGAATTGGCAACCCTAAGGCAGGCATATGTAGTTTCCCTCTGGCTGCTAATACAGTGCAACAGCAACGGAGCTTCCACATGACAGGTTTCTTCATAGTTTCACTGCCTGGTCCCCCCAGCAGTAGCCATGCTCTTCTCCCATGCACCACTAGGGCTTTTCAGATTTATTGTCTAAATCAGCATCTGAACAGCTTTATATTGATATTAGGAATAAGGCCCATTGTGGAAATAAATACAATGAGCTCTAGAAGGAGGCAGGGTATAATGACACAGAGTCCACCGTTTTCTCCAGAGGAACTAATCTCTGCCACCTGAAGAGCAGTTGTAATTCTGAGTGATCTCCAGCTCTCACCTGAAAATTGGCAACAATGGTTCCCCAGGAGGAAAAGTACAGTCTTTCTCTGCAGTGGGGACCAAAGCACCTCACATTCTCTCCTCCTTTTGATCTGCACAACAACCCTGTGAGGTAGGTTAGCTGTGACTGGTCCAAAATCATCCACCTCCACTTTCACGGCAAGAACCTGGGTCTGGCAAACCCTGCTCTGAAGTGCTAACTGCTACGCCACACTGGCTGTGGTATTGCCTGGTATCACAACTGAATTCAAGACAACAGATCTCTCTCTCCCCCTGGAGAAAATAACTGCGTTGGAGTGTAGACTCTATGGCATTCTATTCAGCTGAGGCCTCTCCCCTCCACAAACTCTGGCTTCTGTAGACTGCACCACAAAGTCTCCAGGAATTTCCCAAGCTGGAGCTGGCAACCCTAGTCAGGACTGGCCCCAATGAGTTCCTCACAATGGCCAAATTAGGTCTCCACTTGCCTTTTTACTGACCAAACCAAGCTTGGTTGCCTGGCAACAGCCACTGAGGGTTAAAGTGAGCCGCACAGCAAGAGGAGAAGAGAATGGTTTGACGGCTGCTGGCCCACCTCAGTAACCAGCAAGCCACGGAGGAGCCAAGCAGTAGAAGCGTCTTTGTCAGGAGAGACAGCCATTTTGGCAGTTATTCTGAGTTGAAAGAGTAGCCAAGCTGACAGTGCGTAAAGGAGAGGAGCGGACCCAGCACCCAGCCAATGGCACGCGAGTACTCTTGAGCGGCGGTTGATGGGCTAATGGCTGATGGAGCATACAGCACAGCCAGTGGGAGAACTGGAAAGTGCCAATATGCCAGGGCTTTTATATATACCAGGTAATGGTATAACAATATGTGAAACAGATTTTCTGAATGCCCAAATTTCATTTTTTTTTTTAAAGGAAGTCTCTAGCTGCTTTGGTGAGGAGGTACGTCTTTCCCCTTCTATCTCCTAAACAAATGGGGCTAACAACTTACCTTTTAATGAAATGAAAGCTTGGAAATTCAGACGTTATATTGCTGTAATGGGATTCAGTTCCTGATTTTTAAAAGCCTTCATGGCAGGGGGAAGAAATGGCTGCTGTAAGGAAAATGGCTGCTGTGTGGGCAAGACTAGGAAGATCTGAAGTTTCCTACCTCCACAGCAGCCAGCCAGAGAAAACTCAGGATGTAGACGAATGCGCCATGATGCTGTTGGGAAGCAGGAAAAAAGCCTTGCTTTCCACTGTGGCATCAGGGCAAATAACCTATATGGAAATGGCCCTTTTCTCCTCCATCTCTCCCCCTCCAACTGTTGTTTTCCACTTCTCAACTTTCAGCCCTGCTTCTGGCCTCTTAGAATCTTCTTGTCACTCGTACCTGCTGTATGCTGAAACCAGGGGCAAGCCGGAGGGTGACTGTACAGAGCGGGGTGCAAAATCTCTAATTTTGATTCTGTGACACCTCTTACACAAATAATAATTATCATATGGCATTGTGTGTAGAATAGCCAGGAAATCCTAAGATTATTTGTCTTTCAGAAGTTCTAGCTCTTGTAGCGTTATGCACCACTAGGTAGCGAGCTAGACTTGTTTTGGAGGCAAGAGATGTTTTAGAGGTGTTTTGCCATTGCCTGCCTGTGCATCCCGGCCCTTGTATTCCTCGGAGGTCACCCTTCCAAATACTAGCCTGACCTTGCTTAGCTTCTGAGATCTGACGAGATTGGGCTTGCCTGGGCTATCCAGGTCAGGGCTCCTCTTACATGAGTATACTGAGTCTGATCTTGAGTCTTTCTAGCTTACTATTGTTCACTTTGGATGACAGTGGCTCTCCAGTGACCTCAAGCAGCACTGCTACCTCGACTCCTTTGAACTGGAGATGCCAGTAGTCTGTCACTGAGCTATTGTTCCTGCTGTTAACTGTCAGTTTACTTTTGAGTTACAAGTATCTTTTATCCTCACAGCAAAAGAAGCAAAGTCTCATGTGAAGGAAACGAGACACAATCTAAATATTATTTAATACTTTATTTCCAGCCAGGCAACAATGACGATTTTAAGGCAACAAACTTCATTCATTTTGAACTTCTGATTACAAATTCCTCAGCCCAAGAGCACAGTATTCTCAAAAAAAAACCACCCACCAAAATTCTATAAGATAAATTCTCCGCTGGTTTCTCTCAACCCAACAGATTATCCCCCCCCAAACAACAACAAAAAAAAATCCACAAGATAAATTCTCCACTGGTTGCTCAAGCAAGAGATCTAGCCCCAATAATAGAAATCTCAATAAATACTAGCACACCTCAATGCTAATGCTTTACAATACCAGATTACAATAATCTCCAGTTTCTAGGACAATATCACAATAAAATGAGTTTGGCATCTCTACCTGACTCAAGCTGTTTTTAGCTGCTTTTTTACTTTGAATATTTCTCAGTATTAGTTTTGGGAGGTTCTCCAAAGTAAACAACCTGGGATCCCTTGCCCAAAGTTGTGACAAGCAGAAAAAATGTTGCCCAGAACTGTTAGGTCAGATACAGAGCATGTACTGAGGCCTGACAGTCTAGAATCAGTCCTTAACATCTGAGTCTAATGCTGCATCTGTCCCAGCCACAGAGAACTGACCTGCTCACACACGGCTGGAGCAGGCAATCCTCAAGGGGCCCTAGACTGGGGAAGCAGAGATGCTTATTGAACTGTCTTCCAAGCTAGGCCTCTAACCTTTGACTTTTATCTTCACAGCATGGCAAGCTCTCAGGAACTGGCAGAGTGAAAAGCTGCAAAAGCTCATCGGCCCGCAGAGCAGGTAATAATCTAAACCATTCCCCATGACTTTGATCGCACAGAAGGAAGCCTGTCTACATGATGTCTGGTAGGGTAATCCGATGGTCCAGCTAAAACAGCTCTGTGCCTTGGCAGCTAGGTGGAATTGTATGCTCTCTGAGCAGCAACGCCAAGGCATAGCAATAGAGTTGGTAACAACAACCAAAGCAGCAACAAAGGGTGAACCTGTAGCAACTCCTTTGCTGGCCACCAGTCACAACATCGCTGCTTTCATCAGTACTGCCATACTGATTGTGCACAGACAGCACCAATCAGTGTGTTACGATGACAGGAACACTGATGACAATCTGTTCCACACACACTTCCAGGAAGAGCCCAGGACACCTCTGCCAGCACAGCTAGCACCACAGGTCAGAGGGCAGCATCAGTAAGCAATACATCTCCTATCAGGGAGGGCTTTGTAAAATCCCTTGGCTGCCCAAACGGCAGCAGCATGCCGTCAAGTACTCTTTTGCTGAGGAAAGGCCATGCCAAGGCCATGCAGGGAAGGAAGAGCTGCAATTCTAGTTGCAATGGTCAGTCAGTACTATAGCTCAGTGGTTAGATGGGCAGCAGTTCCTCACGGTTAGGGGTCAGGTCCTCTGATTGTCCAAACACTGAAGAAAGCAGAAAAACAAGGCACCTGCTGCACATAAACAGCCTTTTAGCTGGAGAAGCATGTGTGGCAGGCCCGTAGCTGGGGGCTCCACCTTCTTTCTTAAAGGCACAGCCCCACAAGAATTTCTCCTGTAAATGCTTTTTTCAGTCATTTTAAAAGACTTTTTAAAAGGTGTGCACTCCTTTAACAGAGTGGGGTGCTGTAGTTGACTAATTTCTGCACTGATCAAGGGGGTTAGAGTAGGTGACCCCTAGGATCCCTTCTAATTCTGTTTCAAGAAACTGATCTCCTTTAAGAGAGTTTTTCTGCCTAAGTGTTAGCTTTCTTGACTATAGAAGTCATCACCCCTGTCTACCAGCTTGTATCAGAATTGTTGCTTAGGCTGCCAGAAATTATTAACTTGCAGCAACTGAGAACTGTCATCTGAAGTGGTTGACAGCTTGCAATTTAGAGATCTATCCTGGTAACAGCTTTCTGTTGGCTACATGGCTTTTCTTTCTGCACTGAGAACTTCAGCCCCACGAGAAAAAATTTTTCCCCACAAGCCACAAAATCCTGGCTACAGGCCTGATGTGCAGCCTCACAGGGCATTAAAGGAACTGTCTCTCTAAGCACACAGGCAGACATGGGCTACTTCCCCATGAGGCACGAAAATGTGCCCCTGCCATGACAGCAGCAGACAGCAAAAGTGGGCACAGCATCCACACACCCCTTTCCCTCACTTTAGGTTGCCTTGTCCCATTGGGAAAGCAGAAATTAATCCCCCCCCCCCAGTAGCGGAGACAGAGGGGGCATCCAATGTGGGCTCTCCCCTTTGGCCACTCAGAAGATTCCCCTTCAAACTGGAGAAAAGCAGGTTTGTTTCTAGAAATGTCGTAAAGGGGAAATTCCTGAGAATGCCACATCGTGCTAGGAATGAGCATGGTTTTATAGATTTCCCCCTTTAATCCAGGGGCTTTCTGCTTTCCATGCAAGGAAAAACAAAACCCTGTGGAAGCAGCCGTGGCCAGCCACTGTTGTGGCAAACAGCCCACTGAGAAGGAAGGCTACGAGAGGAAGCCAGCCATGGATGTCCCACATCCTTTGCCCTGAGAACGGGCAGGGTGGCACACTGCATCTCCAGCAAAGGATCCCATTGGAATGGTAGCAAATGTCATATTTCCACGAAATACTGGAAGGGAAGTCATGTGTGCCTCCATTCTCCAGTCATCTAAATGGCAACAATGCCAGTGTTTGATATTTTTGCTATTATGCGGTCACGCTTTCAGTGTGGCATCACACATGGCCACTCTCTCTGTGTATGTCTGGCCCTCACAAACAGAAATGCAGTCGGCTTAATCGGCATGGGTCAGAGCCTCTAAGAAATTCCCCTCCTGAAGTTCCACTTGCAGGCAGGACCAGGAACAGCTACTTGCTGTTTTTGTGCCCACATGTCTGCCGGAGTAGAACGCAAAGCCTGTGTGGAATAATGGACACACATCCTGCAGGGACCAGCCGTGGCATCTGCTCCCGATGGCAGGCCGTTTGTTACAAATGCTTGTAAGGTATGGCAGATTTGGATGTTGGCCCACAGCTGGGATGAAAACCCATAATAAGCAGCCCCGTTATCAATACTGCTAACGTCCCTTTTCCCATGCAGCTCCAGCAGCATCTGTGCCTGCAAGACCACCACATCACCTCCAGCCTCACCACCAATGTCTGACAATATTGCCTACCACTGACACTTGTGATTGTGAGGACAGACATATTGCCACGGCACAGAACCCTGCAGGGAGTGCCAGTGGGGGGAACTGCCCTGGACTGCCTTGTGTGGTCCTCCACCGCATCCATCAAAAGTACTGGGATTGCTGCTCTTGGAACGAGATGGCGCCCATACCCCCAGGCCCACAACATCACCTGCAGTCTTCCCATCGCTGCAAGCGCCATCGCTCCGCAGCTTTGCGTGCCAGCGACGTCCGCGGCAGTGAGAATAGCAGCATTGCAAAGGCAAAGATCCCCGGAGTGGGTGCCAGTCAGGTGAACAGTGTCTTCACAGAGAGGGTAACGCCAGGGCCCTCCAGCATGCAGCCCCGTGTACACCTCCATCGCATCTGTCTGGCACAGGATGGGTGTGAGACCGCACCTCAGGACTGGGATGAACCCAGACCCCATGCTCACCAGTTATGTACTGAGGAACCCACCCCCATGCAACCCTGTGTACTCCTCCGCCGCATCTGTCTGGCACAAGACTGGCGTGAGATAGCATCTCGGGGCTGGGGTGAGCCCAGACCCCCTGAGGACCAGTCGCAAACTGAGATGCTCATGCCCATGCAACCCCGGGTGCTCCTCCATCGCCTCTCTCTGGTGCAAGATCGGTGCAGAACAGCACTCGGGGATTGGGACGAACCCAGGCCCTGTGATCACCAGTTGTGCACCGAGGAAGTAACCCCCATGCAACCCCGTGTAGTCCTCCGCCGTGTCTGCCTGGATCAGTGCAGGACGGCCCCCAAGGACGGGGATGAACCCAGACACCGAGAGAACCGGTCTTGCGCTGAAGAGCTAAACCCCAAGCAACCTCGTGTACTCCTCCGTCGCGTCTGTCTGGATCAGGGTGAAACCGCATCTGAGGACAGGGATGAACCCAGACACCCGGGTTCCCAGTCAGGGGCTGAAAACCTAATCCCCATGCAACCCCGTGTACTCCTCCGTCGCATTGGTCTGGCGCAAGTTCAGGATGAGACCGTGCCTCAGGACCGGGACGAACCCAGACTCTCTGATCACCAGGCAGGGTCTGAGAAGACCGTCACTGACTCTGAAGAGCTCTCATCGTCAGCTCACACTGGAGAGGATGGAGCAGAATCTGATGGGGCCAGCCTGGCCATGGAACAGCCATTTAGTTCTCCATCAGCCGACCAGCCACCTGCAGCTTCTCCCCCAGCCCACGCCAAGGAAGCCAAGCCGAGAAGAGGAGGCATCCAGCGCCACTGGAGACATAGTTCGTCCCATTTGCACCTGGCCAATTTGAGTGAGTGGGGGATAGGCTGATAGCTGTGGGTGTCTCCTTTCATGGATGGGCAGGCTGCTAGCCGGCAATTGTGCCTTCACCAAAGCCTTCCTGCCAGTGTCACTGCTGGCAAAGGCTGAGTGCCCAGTAGCGGTTCCGTGGCACATGTTGCTACAAAGCACCAACATGCCTTGTCCACATGTTGAGACTCTATAGTTCCCTGTTTGCTTGTACAACTGTGCAGTTAAGCAGTCATATTTAGATTGTGCCTCTGTTCAATATGGTAACATCGTAGCCCGCCAATGGTTGTAACCGGGGGGGGGGGAATGCCCCTTTCTCTCTTCTAATCTAGCTAGCCGAGGCCCAGTGGTACTGCTTTCCACCAGTGCTTCTGGTGGGTTGGGATGTGCCCCTTGGCTGGCCCTACTGCATTTTTCTGGCACCCCACCTTGGGTGGACTGTGTCGCATGTCGTTTCATTTGGTGATCTAACACTTTCTCCTCCCCAGAGCTGGACGTCAGACCTTATAGCCCATGAGCCTGGCTCACAACACGCAGTGCACCCTCCCACTCCTCGGCCTTGACCTGCAGGAGGTGCACAGTGAGCTGACTGGCCACCAGGTCCATCTCCGGAAGCAGCAGCCACCTCAAGAGCATGACCCCCTGTGACCAGGTCCTCTGCGACACTTAGCTGTGGTAGGAAGGTCCTGCACATCTCTTACTAGGGGTGCTCGCTGCACATGGGACATGGGCTGTCTGCCCCCCCCCATCCCCTGCCCATTTTAGGTGTTTGTTGTCACCCTTCCCACTGTGTCTGCCAAGGTGGCATGTGCCCATTGCATTTCACCTCTTATGTTTCCTTCGCTGTCCCTCCCCTTGCCCGTTTGAGCTGACGTCCGTGTCGGGCTCTTTCTCTCTCGCCCACCTTCTTGCATCCCAAGCTTGTGTGGACTTAGTTTTTAGAATACATTTCATTTATACAGCCACCGTGTCTCCTGCTGTTTATTTGGCATGCCGTGGCACTTGTCTTCTACTGTCCTTCACCCCACATCGGCCGCTTGAGAGGCAGTTGTTGGATATCCCAATGCAGGCTCAACCTGATAGATGATTAAGATCCTGCCAATCTCCTCCTCTGACGCAGCCTTCCTTCTGGGAGATGATGGATGAAATCCCAAGCTGTGTGACCTCTGAGTCCCCAAGAGCAGACTGCTACTGTCCTGGCTGAGAACCAGCAACTGTATGCAACAGTAGGACAGTTGGAGGTGATGGACTGATGCTTTGGTGTGAAGCAGAAGTTAAAACAGCCCTGGAAAGCAAGAACCAGATTGGCCTTTTGTCTGCTTAGGTTGAAGGGCGGAGCCTAGCAGATCAAAAGGCACACGACTGTAAGGTATTGTGCCTGATCCTGACCAGGTCTTCTGTTTCCCTTGCATCTGTGCTTTAAAAAAAAAAAAAAAGAATATATACAACTGAGGAATTTATTACAAGAAATTGGAATGTCATGGCAGATTGCATTTTAATGGCTGCTGTAACGGTGCTCCTTCCCTACGAAATAAGTTGTAGCATAGGTAATAGATAATTGATGAATAAATAATGGCTTATTAGGATTTAAAAGTAGATTCAATTGTATTAACCAGGATTTAAACAGTTATGGCTGTTGTGAGTCATCTCTGTGCTTATGTTGTACTTCTGAGTTTTGCATAGAAATGTCACAAATCATGCCACTTGCATTTTGTTTTAACACCAATGTTCATGATTGTTTTCCATGTGTACATCTATGTCTGCTGACTGAGAAGTCAGTTCATGCATCTGATGCTTAACTACACGGATGCTTAAACTACAATAAATCTGTTAATATCTAAAGTGTTATAAGGTTCCCTTTTGGTTTTGCTACAGACAATCTAACATGATTACCCTTCTGAAATAAGTCTCTGGAATGAATTGCTCTATCAGTGCCAAGATTTCACCAGCACTTAGCCCCCCTCCCAATTAGGTTCGAACGCTAAGGCTGAGTTATGAAAGAGACCTTTAAGAATGCCCGGAGTGTCTTTCCTATAGGTAAAGGTAAAGGTTCCCTTGCTCGAAAGCCAGTCGAATCCGACTCTAGGGTTGCGGTGCTCATCTCCGTTTCAAAGCCGAAGAGCCAGCGCTGTCCGAAGACGTTTCCGTGGTCATGTGGCCGGCATGACTAAACACCAAGGAGCACGGAACGCTGTTACCTTCCCACCGAAGTGGTACCTATTTATCTACTTGCAATTTCTTGCTTTCGAACTGCTAGGTTGGCAGGAGCTGGAACTAGAGACGGGAGCTCACTCCGTCATGCGGGAACTCGGGTCTCGAACTGCTGAACTACCCACCTTCCACAGCCTGCAGTTCAGTGTCTTAACCACTTGAGCCACAGCAGCTCCTATAGCTTTGACTAAATGGATCTCCTTCATATTTAATCACTGAGAAGCATACTTAAAGACTGAGAAACGTCTGTGGGATTGCTGAACTGTATCCTTAAAATTGTCTATAAAAAGGAGCTCAAGCCTGAACCTTTCATAAGAATGAAAAAAGCTCTGATGGAGCAAACCAAAGGTAAGTCTAGCCCAATACCCTATTTCCCACAGTGGCCAGCAATCTCTTCCCAGGAAGCCAACCAGCAGGGGAGGAAGGCAGCCACTGCCCAACACAGTTGCTCCCAGCAACTGGCATTCAGAGGTATACTGGCTCTGAACGTGGAGGTTCTACTTAGTCATCATAGGTAATAGCTACTGATGGAGTTCTCTCACCTCGCTTCTGTGAATCATCTATCTGATCCTCGTTTAAAGCTATCTAAACCATCAGACTGCTTTTCAGTGTTCCTCTTTATAGCCATGTGACTAACACAGTGCACACCTACTTGGAAGTAAACACCACTGAATGCACCATTCGGGGGGCTGCCATGGCCCCGTGGGCACTGGGGAGATAGCCCCAGGTCACCTTAGCATGAACACACCACGGATCGGAATGAATCCAGACTCTCTCATCCCCATTTCAGAGGCTGTCTCTCTGTCTACCCTCCTTACCAACTCACAGTAGGGAATTACCAGTAACTTATACTACCCTCCTGACCATATGCATTGTGGACATGGTTTCTGGAGTTACAAGGCAGAGTCAACCAGGCCTCCCCCCTCCAGAGATCATATCCCCAGGAGCAGATAGGAGACAGTGCTCATGATGGGGTCTCTATACGCTCTTGGGGACCTAGCTTGTGGTGGCCGCCTTCTCCTCCTTCCCTCATGGACCTAATGCACTGCATCTGCGCAGCAGAGAGCCATGTGCTAGTATTTGTCTCAGACTGAGGATTTCTTCTTTTCATTCACTTGAAAACTTCACCCAGGAGACATCACACAGTATCCATTTCACAGCAACTTGGCTCAATACATTTAGCGCAGGTGGAAGAAAGATTTAGGGTAGCCCTTGAATCTCTGTAGCAAATCACTGCACATGGGGAAATAGATTGGGTTTTGGTCACAAATGAGGATTGCTTCTTTCCTGTATGAGTCTATGAATTGTCTCCTGGGGAGTTCGCATGTCTGTGATTCATGATTAGGAGTCCTGGCTCAGCAACAGAGTCGTGCTTCGCATGCAGAATGTCCCTCGTTCAATCCCCCATTAAAGGATCTCATGCAGCAGATGCTGAAAAAGACCTGAGACCCTGGCAAGCAAATACTGGGTTAGCTGGACCAGTGGTCTGAGTCCATAGAAGGCAGCTGCCTATGTTCATGGGATTGCCTGCAGCGTTCTCATGATCATTAAAAAACAAGAAGAAGCAATTCCCCCCTTTTTTCAAATGTAGTTACAGTGCCTACCTTATTTATTTATTAAGTTAGATTTCTTAACTGCCCTTCCCCACTTGTGCGGGGCTCAGGGCAATTTAGAACAATTAATTCAATACATTATACAATCAGCTAAAACCATAAACATTTTCAGTATTAAAAACATTCTAAAACATTTAAACATTGAAAAACAAGATGGCATTCAGTCCGGGGTGGGGGGGGGATGGCAGGCAGATGTAAGAAACCATCGCTGGCCTCCACCAAAGGCCTGGTGGAACATCTCTGCCTTACGTGCACTATGAAACTTGAATAAGTCGGGCAGGACATGGATGTCATTTGGCAGAGAGTTCCACCAGGCAGGCTGGGGCCAGTATAGAAAAGGCCCTGGCCCTGGTCGAGGCCAGCCGGATGTCTTCGGGGCCGGGGACCACCCGAATATTCTTGTCTGCAGGTCTTAATGCCCTTTGGGGAATGAATAGGCTAATGAATAGCAAGAGCTTGTTAATCCTTCCCTTCCCTGATATTTTCTCCTTGAAACATGACATCACCACTTTAACTTTTACTCCTCACCACTGTTTTCCCCCAGCAGTAGTAAAAGTTGGCTTGGGAGGGTTTCGGTGACAAAACGGCTGGGGGAGGAAATGGTTAAAATGCTCTGTTCCCTCCACTGTTCTTCCCCTTTTAAAAAGCAGCCCCAGCAGGGGCATTTCAAAATGGGCTATTCTTTTGAAATGATCAGGGAACTAAATGGAGCATGTAGTTCCACTGTTACTCTGCACTCTTTCTCTGTTGTGGCTTGGAGCAGGGAGAAGGTTGGGGCCAGTATCTTCGGCTCTCTCTCCACTGAATAATGTATTTTTAAGCCTACTGTATCCTTAGAAGTGTGTAACTCTGTTTAGGATTGCACTGCAAATGACCTCATTTCATTTATCTCTGCAATATGGAGGATAATGCTGGTATACGTTATACAGAGGTAATGTTGTCCTTTCATCTAAGTACTGTACATGAAAATTCTCATGTAAAGAAAACTGGCACAGAAATACCTGCATATACGAGACAAGAGTATCAGTGAGAAGGAGGGTTGCCGATAGGCCTGGAGAAAAATGCCGTCTCTTTACCAGAGGCAGCTGAAGCTTTTAATGGAGGTAAATATCACCTGATGAATAATATCTCATTAAGCGGCTACTAAAGCCATAAGTCATTTTTCCTCCAGGCAGATGACAAATCTAGTGGGAAGGGTAGCTTACTTGAAATGGTACAGTCAAGGATGGCTGTCATCCACAATAAGCTGTTTCCCCTGGAATGGGCTGCAGTTCCCACCTGTCAAATGGATTGATCTATCAAACAGAGCTATTGTTGTCGAGCAGGCTGAAGATGCTACTGAAATGAGAAGTGATGACGTCTTGAAATGCAAGCTAGGTTATACTCTGAAGCTGTGCTAGGAATAGAAAGTGGGGTGCAATTTATGGCACTGAAAATTTATTGTTGGTGCCGTTTCTTTCTGGGCAGTCACCTGAAGTTGCTAAGGAGTCTGCTAGCATAGCCTCAAAGAAAATCCTGGTGTTCCTGGAATGGATGGAGCTCCAGTAGGGGGCGCTGTTCCCTTTCAGATGTTACCTAACCCCAGTAGCTTGTTACTAAAAGATGTAATTAAATTTGTATTTGTTTCAGGTAGAGAGGTTTGCTCTTCAAAAAAGCACTTCTGTCCTTAGAGAATCACGGGTTTTGGTGGAACAGAATCAGACTGAGCTGTTTAATATAAAGTTTCTCAGCCTTCTGGAACACATGAAACAGCTTAGACTGAATGGGAGCACTGGTCCATTGAAATCAGTATTATGCCCTCTGACTGACTGATTCCTCTCTCCTGTGGCTTGCTTGGCTACAGAAATGTCTTTCCCATCAGCAGCTGTTAAGTAGCTGTGCTATGGGTGCTGCACTTTTGAGCCAGTCTTCAGAGTTAAAAGGTTGTCCTCAAGGTCTAAATTTCAGGCTCCCTGTGCATTTTACAGCTCGCCTGCCTTTGAGAGATGAGGTTCCTCTCTCTTTGATGTGCCAGAGGCTTGTCACCTTAGTGGGGCCAAATGGCCTGGCTTCTCAAATGTCTGTTATTCTGTTTTTCTTGCTATGTAGAGGCTACGTGTCTGAGGGGGAGCAACAGTTTTGGCGGGAGGGATGCTCTGGGAGAGGTACATGCTTAGTGTGTGTGTGTGGGGTAGTTGACTGTTAATTCTGGCAGGCAAATACCATGTGGTGATTGTGTCCTGATCTTTAGTGCCTTTACTTGAACACACTGTAACCTTCCGGCATTCAGCTTCAGTCCTAAAAATAGCTCGTGTCCAGTATGGTATCTATCAATGTCTCAATAAAGTTAGCTTTATTCGAAGTGACTGGTGTTGAGAACTGATTTAACCAGGATCCTGACAAATTGTTAGGACTCCCCTTTTTCCTTCTCAACCTTCTGCACCACAACTGTGATGAGCGGAGAGGACGGGGGAGTTCCTACAACTGCAGTGGATGGCGCCGTACCTGAGCAAGGGACCACGGTGGCCCCGGGGGCAACAGCAGAGTCAAAAGGAGTGGAAAGTGGGGAACGGACCCGAGACTCCTAGGCGCTACTCCCCACCTGGGCTGAGCCCACCTGGGTGGTGACTCTGGATCCGAGATTCGAGAGATTTGTGTATGATGGCACCTGAAGGCGCAACGGACACTTGTCCCAGGAGGACCCAGAGCACATCTGTGCTGTGGAGGACACTAAAGTTGAGCATCTCCGCAGAGAGTTCAGAGGTGAGGCTGAAGAGATCAGGTGAGAGATGCAAACCATGATGCTGGAATTACCG